GGATCGCCTGAATCGCCACCTGTCAAAATATAATCTATCTCCTCTAAATCAAGAAAATTTCGGCACCGCTTCCCGTATGAAAAGTGTCTTTTCAGAATTTATATCAGTCTGAATATGAAACTAGAAATAGTCTTTGAGTTTTCAAAGTCCAATTTCTGGATTTGTAGAAATTTCGGCAGCGCTTCCTGTAGAGAAAGTAGCTTACAAAAATTTACACAAAGTCAAGTATAACAAAAGATCCCAGAAAATGCGAGAATTGATCTAAGTTGAAAAACTTACCTAAAAAAATGTAGGAATTGAAACTAACTCCAATCGCTCTAGCACGTGGCAAACCTCTAAAGCAACTACCTATCAACCTGAAGCTCAGACTAAGTAGTAGCCTCACTCAGTCACATGCAGGTCAAACTACAAAGGTAAGTACTCTCACCATCCCGAGGTATAACAACACAACAATAGTTCATGATCTTTCAATGCTTTATCCCTTTATACCCAGCTTATATAAGGCGTAAAGTCAGGCCATCAAATCTCTTGGAACATGTTTGACTCAGCCATTGAGCATGCACGAACAGGTTGCACAACTACTTTTCTCTTCTTTTGGGCATATGACTAAGCCATTCATCTTAGAAGCAAAGCTTCGTTGCTCTGAACTGTTTAAGTAGCCAAGTTGTATATATCTCTCTGAACTTTTATCTTGAAGGCGGGCGTAGGACTGAGTCATTCATCTTAGAAGTTAGAACCAATGCTCAGCCGACCCAAGTTACCTTCAATTATATTCTTAATTGTACTCTCTTCAATTTACGATAAGCTATAGTCAGACCATCCAATCTTATGGAACCCGTGTCTAACTAGCCTATTTTTAATAGGATAGTAATAACGTATAATCAAATTATAACCTTGGGTTTCAGCATGTGCGAGGCTTTGAGCCAGACCCCCTGAACTTACAGAAGGATCTAACTCTCTGCCTGATTCATTTCTCTCTAAAGTATCATGTGTGAGGCATTGAGTCAAACCCCCTGAACTTACAGAAGGGTTTGCCTTTTGCCAAAGATTACTCCCTCAGAATAAAAGTAGGAAGAGAGTGAGTCACCTTAACTTACATAACAGCTCGGCCCCCTCGTTCAGAAACAAGGGAAGTTAAGAAAACCCAAGAAACAAGGCAACTCAGGATACCTAAACTTATAGAGCGCTCTGAGCTCCCGAAAATCAAACACAATCAAACCCTCACAAGTCAGAGCAGTCAGGCCGCCTAAACTTATAGAGTGGTCCATCCCTCCATTCATATCACACCACCGGGCAGTGTGTCCGAAAATCGATTCAACGCGGGGTCCGCGTTAAAAAATTGAACGCGCATTCAATTCGCGTTCAATCCCCGTTCAAACGTGAGTTGGACGCGAATGAACGGGGTCC